CCCCCACCCACCTTCCACATTGTACTTCCTCCTAATTTTTGTGGTGCAGTCAATGGCAACATTTTCTCCACCTACATTAATGGACTTCCTCGTCTACGTTTTCTTGAGAATTATTGCGTATTGTGGTCTGGTGTAGTATATAGGTAGAGAACAGTTTGTATTTAATTATTAGAAGGAGTTGGGGTTAATGCATTGCCTTCAAACATGTTTTATTCTTAGGGGGCGTCTTTTGTACTTTCGTGTTTTAGATTTTTCCGCTTTTTCTTAAAGCCATATATTAATGTTTTACTAATTTGTGCTCAGTTATTCATTTCCGCTATTTATTTTAATAGCAGAGACGAAAAAAATAGAATCACAGAGCGATATTATGTGAGAGAACTCTTGGTGATAGTTTATTGTTTGACAATAAAAATGCTATAACTCGAGTCTTCCGTGTTTATTTAGAATTTATTTATTTCATGTTTTCCGCTCAACACCAAGCTATGAATAAATGGGGAGGGGTGGGGGTTCGTAAATAGAGAAAAATAAAAGGTTTTAGTAGGTTTGGACGGGAATAAAGTCTGTAATGCCACTCCATATACGAGGGAATCAGACGTTGGATCTAACATTCGAGGACGTACACAAAACAACAACCGTTGTATCGGCACTGAACAAGTTCAAAATTAAACTGTGAGCCTAACCTGTTCAGCTTGTTGGAAAAATCCTTAGATAAAAATAAGTACGGTCTTTTTTTTTTTTTTACATCCTTCAATAAAAAGCGTTGAGTCACGCCATGGGTGTAAATTCTGATGATCTCACTGCTTTTTTTTGAAGATCTTTAGGCAAAGTTAAAAAGACTTCAAAGACGGCAAGACAAGATTCTTAGACATGTAGACAGTCCTTTTTCTTTCCTAGAAAGTAAACGCACGCGCAGCATATTCCACAAGGTAAGGATACCCTCTCCTACCCCCCCCCCCTCTCTCTTTCTCTCTCTCTCTCCCCCTCTCCTTAACCTTATTACCCTGCTCTCTAAACCTTTGAGTTTTGGGCTTGAGTTTGAGTAAATAGGGGCACATCGAAACAACAACGGTCACAGAGTGCAGGGAAAAAGCAAGACCGATAGACAGAAACAACGGAGGGAAAGGAAAGTAGAGGTGGGCAAAATCCGGATAAATATCCGGATCATCGCATAACCGTCAATAAGACATTATCCGAATTCGAATTCAGACTCTTTAACTTTTTTGTCCTGACCCGTTTGCCGAAGTGGGTGCACCCATTTGTTGAAGTGATGTTAGTCCGTTTGCCGAAGTGGGTGCACCCATTTGTTGAAGTGATGTTAGTCCGTTTGCCGAAGTGGGTGCACCCATTTGTTGAAGTGATGTTAGTCC